CCGTGGGATCAGCTTCCCTGCTTCCCGGGCGGGGAGGTAGGAAGACTGTAGGAGGGGGACGAGGGAGCATACGGAGAGGAAGCGGCTTCACCTGTTGGAACCGAGTATTTGCTTGGTGCTTGGATTAACTAGTAAGTGTTAATATATTTATAAAGTATCTCTTTCGTCATAGCTTCTTAAAATATGGTATAAACCACCAATATTTCTGTAAATCTGGATCCCAAAATGGCCGTCTTTAAAACTGGTAGTGGGAGGTGGGGGTAATATCACAACTCGCCTTCTGGCCCTTTTCCATGACTTTATCTAGAATAGAATATTAACACATAAATCCTTCCTATCTGAGAAACAGGCTTCTGGAACCTCAGTGCGGTTTCTCATGGTTGCTCAGGAAATCCTGGTGCTACAGTGGAAGGACGGGGTTCGAGGCCAGCACGGCGGGGACTGCAGCCCCCGAGCAGCGCTGCGTGGAGCGCCACCTGGTTCGCTGAGGAGGGCATGGCTGCCAGGCGCCGTCCTCGGTTCTGTCCCGTCGGCGTCATTTATTAGTGATAGGGAGTGCTCGTTTGTGAATGACTCAAGACGAAGATGAAAAAATAAGCCCATTAACAGAACCGAGGACCGAAAAGACCAGATTAGGCTGAGGCTGAAATAATTATGTTCAAATAGTTATGAATTATTCGAATTCGAGCTGTGGAAGACTTGGCTTGATAGCATTTTGTCACAAAAACTCGTGTGGTTTTGATTGACCACAGGCTTAATAAGAAACGTTATGCTCCGTGGCATTAAGGTACAGGCCCAGAGGAAAAGTGAGTGGGACCCCCCAGCGTTGGCGTGCCCGCTGGGCGTAGACTTGCCAGGGCCTCACCTCCCAGAGGCGAGACTCAGCAGGGCATTGGGGGACCCCAGGCATCTGCAGGCTGGACGAGCACCGGGATGACTCTTTGCTGTAGGACCTGTTACTGTCTGGTCCAGAGATCAGGTTAAAGACTAAAGGTGTGGACAGACTTCAGTTTCGCTCTGAGTGGGAGGTCCCATAGAGAGCCACGGTTAAGACAGAAACAGTAATCCCAGATTTGTACTAGTGTCTAGGAGGGATGTTTAATTATTTGGTCAGAAAGAGAACTTGTCTGTATATGTGAATATCAGATATTTCAGCGGTTTGTGGATTTCTTAAAAGTTACGAGGTAGATTGTGGTAAGAGCGGGGCTGGCCTTGTGGAATGTTGGAGTTAATTGTTATGAGCTGTGTCAGAATCGACAGTACTCTTTGCGTGGCCCAGAGCCTCAGGCCTCGCCTACCACTGGTCTGAGGGACACCCGCCCTGGGCGTAAGAAGTAGGAAATGACACCAGAGCGACGGTGGATGCGGGACAGTGCTCGGGAAGGGGATGGACTGTGAGGCGAGGAGGCGATGCTTCGTGCTGGGTTAACGCAGGGCGACCGCACCGCCGCGCTCCTCAGGGCGGTCCTGGTTTGCTGCTGCTCTCGGGTTCTTATTGATGGTGACGCCTTTCACTTTCAGAAGTGCCCTGGTTGGATAAAAAATTATATGGTTCTCCTAGTTAGAAGTGGCATTTTATGAATAGCTGACTTCAAATCTCACCCATTTTGGCGGGTAAAACAGGAGGGGAAATGAGGTTAGATAAAGGGAGTTTGAATTTTTAGTCTTTACATTTTTTAGCTGTCATTCTTTCCAAGTTCACCTAATACTTGGATAATGGTTTTTTATTAATTGGAGGAATCATTAGAATATGGGTAAGAATTTTATATATGCTTTTGTTTAATAATCCTGTGAATAGAAGTAAGTGCAGTGTTTGAGATCATTGATTTTCTCTTTGGCTGGTGGCTCCCTGTCCACTCTGTATTTACGTGCTTTCTTAGCTTTGATTTGTCTGACAGCAGACTCATGGGCGGAACCGGTTGTCACATTAGTCTTAGAGTAGAGCTGTATATTTTCTTGAATATATGTGAAAAGATACTGTTCAGTTTTAACTTTGACTCTCTAATACGTTATAGTTTGTGACATTTCGATGGTGCTGGAGTAAACATGGATATGTAAATGACTCAGGATTGCTTGGAAACTATTTAGAACTTTTAAATAACTGTCCTTCTTTTTCGTAACGTTGTCAACCTTTACTGATGCCCATAAAAAGATTTTGTTATTTCATTTTTAGAACCAAAATTTTGATTTGTGTAAATATTAATTTTTATAATTGCCTAGCCTAACATGGGGAAATATAGCTGCTTATCACTGCAGACTAATGTGCTTACTAATTAGTATTTTTAAAAATTGCATGTTTAGGTTTTAATCTGAAAATTTGAATTTAGTTTTGTTTCTGAACACAGTTGCTTTTTGTTTTTTATTGCTTTGCTGCAATTTTAGAATATAGTTGCTTTCTTCTATTGATTGGTTAATTTAAGAAGTTATCTGTGTGGCATTTCGTGACTGGCCGAATGGACAAGCGTAATGCTCGAATAGCCTTGGTTATTCAGTATTCTGAAGAAAATGTGTATGATTGATCACCTCCTGAATTATACATAACGTATGCAACGGAAGTCATTGGCATAATAAGAGTATTTTAAAATCGAGACATTTTTTCTCAAGTTAGAGAAGGTCTGTCTAGGACTGTGTTGCCGCCCGCCTCCCTCCCCCCAGCACATCGCCGTTTACTCTAACTGAAGACCCGAGAGAGTGTCAGCCTGTGCACTTTTTAAACTTTACCCAAGCGGACGAGTCCTGGCTTTTTACAAATTATATCCCGAGACTTAACGTAGACGTTAATTTCATTGTGAAACGTCTTACTTCAGACATTCACTTGCTATCTGAAAAGTCATTCCGTTGACTTAACCTGTAAAGTGAATAGAAGTTTAGAATGATTGTCTGTCCGCTGAGGAAGAGTCTCCGAGGCTGCCAGGCACCTCCTGTGGCCGCAGCGAGGGGTTCTCTCCCCGCTCGCTGTGGCGGCGTCAGGACACCGCCGTTGTCCCTGGCAGGAGCCGTTCCACGGGACAGCCAGGGCCCTCTCCGTTCGTTCTCTAGTTCAGCACTGTTCTCTTCTTCCCTGGCAGTAATGGTAACAGCAGTAGCTGGAGCAGTCTTGCTTTAGAAGGGGATTTGTATGAGGACAGTTTCTCCTTTCCAGCATCAGACAGGTTGGTCCAGTCCAGAAACCTAAAAAACGGATGAGTCTTCCACCACTAATGCATGATGCCATATTCCTAAAAGGATGCGGGTTTCGGTGCCAGTATGTATCACGCTGCTTTCCTCCCATATTTTGACATGATTCTGCTTGATGAATTTACATCTAACGAAAAAATTCCACTGTGCTGTGATTGACATCTAACTGCAAAATGCATCACCTTTACGCATGTGTTGCTCTGCTTGCTGTTCTTCATTCTGCCAATTATTTCATTAAAAAGAGCTTGCTTCCTACAGGATTTCTGTTTTTTTTTTGTTTGTTTGTTCGTTTGTTTTTATGTAGTTTTATTTCATATATAAGAAAAGTGTAAGAAAAATGTTTTTTATGATGTTAAAAATATGTAAATGGCCTTAGCAGAAGCATTAATAATTATTTGTGGCATACTATGATATTCAAGTGCTGTGTTATTTACAACCAAATTAGTAGAATATTTTGGCTTTAAATTATTTTAAATTTTATTATGACATTACTTGGCACTCTGTGTATCATGGTCAGGCAGAGCTTCTTGGTTATTGATAACTTAGCTAGATATCATTTACAATTCAGACTTCAACATGAAATGGTGTGAGAAGCAAAGCTTCCTTTTTTATTGTCATTTCTCCCTTTTTAAATGCCACACATCATATTGTAACTCATTCTTTACCACATTTTAAGAATTGATTTTAATGCCGTTATTAACTAAAGCTTTTTTTTTTAACCGCTTCTGTTCTTTTATTCGAAAAGCGATGGGCCAGATGATAAAGATGAAGAGCATGAGGACGATGTAGAAGGTAATTGACAATTCGTTTTTCAGAATGTTTGCATGTTTTGTTTTGTTTTTGTATAAGTTTCTCTAGAAGAGTCTTTGATTTTTGTATTTGTGCATTTCATCAGTTAGGCTCTGGGTTATTATGAATCAGAATATTTACATTACCAATCAGGGTATTCTTAAGCCAACTTATTCACTGTCGGGTCCTTTGTTGAGCAGTTTATGTTATTCAGTCGCTAAATTATTGAAGTACTCATTGGTATAAAGACTGAGATACTTTAAAAGAATTATTAAATTATTTAGAGGGAAAGTTATGGTAATCTCTGTATAATTATCTTTTTCAAAATATGAAAAATCCTTACTCGTAAGATAATTTATTATCACTATGACGTATGTCATCATTTTTGCCTACCAAACCAATAACTTCTAGAATTACTGTTTAATGTCAGTCTTACATAAATCAATAAGTAAAAATAAAAAGATACCTTAAAATCAGTTCTTCCCTCCGTAATTCGAGTCTTAACTCACGCATAACACATATTTGAAGAAAATACTCAGTTCTGCCTTTAATGAATGTAGTTCTGAATATGTAAATACTAGATGCTATTGGTCACAGAGCTTGGACTGTGATACGTAATCCTTAATTCAACTGTATTAAAATGTCTGAGTGAATCTATAAACTGTACGTGTTGAAGTGGAGTTTTCATTGTCCCCTAATTATGGAAACACCAATAATGGCTTCTGTAGAGTGACACCTAAATGCATCCATACTGTTTGAGAGATTTGTTTTTGAACCAGTGATTTGTTGTTGTTGTTATCCTTTCTGTAGAAGTGGGCAAACGTAGAAAATTGCCAAAGTGAATTTCTTGACAAGTGTTGCGTAACTTCTGAGTTTCCATGTTATTCCCAGTTGTGCTTGTTGAGGAAAGTCATGTACTAATTTTTGAGCTAAAATCCTCAGACCTAGGATGGTGGTTATATGTTAGTTCTGATGCCTCTGCTAAAGTAGACGTCTTCTTCACATAGGGCTTCTAGAAGCAAGTGTTTCTCATCACATGTAAAATAGGATTGGGAGATGTTTTTTGAGTTACGGATATGCTAGGCAATATTTGCTTTATTTTTGTTAACTAAAAAAGTGTTGATTTTGTCTAGAAAAGTTTTGTACTTTTTCCCAAGTAATACCTATGAGCAAAGTTGTTCCAAAAGCTATATACGGGGTATAAATGCATGTGGTGAGTATTTTTTCTAACGAGTATTAACTTTAGTGAGGAATTACTGAGAGGAGATACAAGTTAATATCAGTGGGAAATTCATGAAAAACTTATTACTTTTGACACGAGCCAGGCTGTTCAGGATTTGTTTTGTGAGTAGGTAGAAGTCAGGAGATCAGTTATTTGTGGATATTGTCATAAACCAGCTTGCGTGGTCATCTCTCCTTATGTGGAAAATTGTAGCCAACTTTCAAATTTGTTAAAATAGAAATTGGTAAATTAAGAGAAAGCTTGAAGTAGAATTATAGAAAGATTCAAAATTACAGAAATCCTAAGGCAACAAACCTCATTTGGTTTCTTTTTTGTAGTTTTAGGATGTCAGTCCCTTCTCTTTTCACTAGTGTTTAGTAACCTCTCTAAAAAGAGGGGTCACTCTAAGGCCCGGCATCCAGGAGTCCTGAACCGAGAAGGCCAGTAGCACAGAGACGCCTTGGGGTGACAGGGTCCAACCCCGTGACCTCTACAGGACTTAGAAAACGGCCCAGAGACCATTGTGCACCAGACCCATTTTTGACTGAGAATTAGTGGGGAGAGGAGAGGGAAAAACCAGTACATTTATTTTAAGAGAATAATATGAATCAACTTTCTAAAATAGAAATTAGGGGCCTACACATGTCCCGAAAATGATGAGTAGTGGTCTAGAATGCTCTGCAAACCGTAACAGTGAATCAGGGATGGTCACCTGCTGATTTCCGTGGCGGGCACAGCCCGGCGCCGCGTCTGCCAGCGTGTCCCGCCGCCCGAAGCAGGCGTGTTCGGTCGTTAGTTGCACAGCCAACGGGGATTCATCCTATTTTGTTGAAAGGAAAACTTTCCTACACAAAGAAAGTAAACTTGAGAGCAATATTTTATTTATAATAGGGGTATACCAGAAAATTCCCTGGTCTGGCTTTTGGGGTATAAGTGGTTGCATATGCTGTTTTCCCCTAATTTTGCCTAAAGAATGAAGTGATTATGAGCATGGAGCCAGACTGCCCGTGTTCACATCCCGGCTCAGCCGTGTCCTCGCTGTAGGCCTCTGGATCCCTCTGCCCGCGAGGCCTCACCTGCAGGACGGGGATGACCAAATAACAGCTTTTCCCCGGGGGCGGGTTCGGGGTTAGGGGTCTGCGATCTAAAGAGCTTAGAGCGGTGCGCGCTGTCCCAGTCTCTGCTGCTCCTCTTCTCTCAGCTCGGACAGCTTTCCCAGCGTCCATTTAGTATGTGTATTCGAGGTTTCTATTTGTATTTCATTTGTATTCTGATCGTAATCTTGGCTTTATAGTTTTATTTTTTCTTCTTTTACTCGTGGATCGTATTTTGACACAGATGGCGGTATCGATGATCGTACGTGAATTCAGTGCCTCAAAATAGAGTTTTGTATTTGTGCTGTCAGTAGATAGCTTGGTTTTAGCATTATTTTGCCCTTTCAAAGAAATGATTAGTTGATGTGGTTTGGTTAAAAAGGGCCGTGTGTTTTCCTGTCATTCACTGAGCCTTTAGAAATGGGAAATACTTATATTTCCTTGGAAACCTGAGTATGGACAATGGACTCGGTGAGTTTCACTTCAAATTGTTTAAATTTGTACACTAGGTTTGGAGCAAGACGGAAAGACACTGCTAATAACGAATATTGACATGGAGCCGTGCACAGTAGACCCCCAGCTGAGGGTCATTCTTCAGTGGCTGGTGGCCTCTGAAGTCGAGGTCGCAGAACTTGCCTTTCATGACTCTGCAAAGAAGGAGTTTGTACGAGTAAGTGCCTGCCTTGTGGGGGACTGTGAGGAAATGTGAAACAGGACATGGTGTTCGGTGTCACATGGCTGATCGAGTGAGATGCCCATTTATAGCGGAGGCTGACAGCTGGGTCGCGCGTCAGTCTGCCACTCTAGCAGTGTGACCCTGGGCGAGTTCACCCATTCCCTGTCTGCACTGTGGGAGTGAGCATGGAATTTACTTTACAGAGGTTTGTGAGATAAAACATAATACTGTAAAGCAGTGCTTACCCTAGTACCTGGTACATTCCGTGTTCTCAGACTTAGGTGTCATTAAACATGTCACGTGTTCATAGGAAAAGACCGAGTTATTCTTTGTATTTAAACGATTAATAATGGTGCCTAGTACTCAGTATATCTCTTTCTCTGTTTATCCAGTTTCATTAGTACGACAAGCTGGCATAACCAAAAGCCAGTAGGACTTTAAACATTTAATAAGAGGCGGTGGACTACTTGAGCATTTAATAAGGTTCTAATAATAAAACATTCCGATTTGGTGCACCGATAAGATTTTTATTGAGAGCTTACTGTGTGCCAAGCACCTTGCTAGTCAAGATTTTTAGCTTACAGTCTTAAAGTTTTTGTCTCAGAATTTTCCTTATGAGAACTTTGGTTTAATCTTATTATAGGGCATAGAATAGCCCAGTGAGTAACCAGTGTTAATTGGTCAGTAATAACAAAAAAGGAGCAGTCCAGTTATTCTTGATTCCTGATTTGGAATTTACATAAGTATTGTTGGAAAAACTGTTATGTGAAAAAGACATTATGTAAAAATAGTTTTTTTGGGGGGAGTATTTTGTTTGCTTTTACTCAGACTTGGGGGTTATTTCCAGTTTAAGATTCTGTTTTGGGGCAAAAATAAGACAGAAAGGGATGCTCAGGAAATGAACCGTCAAGGAGGTAGCATGGGTAGGGTGAGTGTTAGAACCAACCTTAGGGGGGGGCGAACGTTTTCACGTTGTTTAGTCTTGAATCAGCTGAGGACTAAGGAAGGCGAAGGCCATAGGCTGAGCTGGGTGTGACAGCGCTCGCGTAAGGGGACCTTGTTCCCAGGTGGCTGCAGAAAACACTCTGCCAGGTCCTCGTGAAGCTAAACATGGCATCGTTGTGTAACCCAGCACTCCACTGCTCGGCGTATGCCCAAGGGGAGTGGAAGCGTGTGTTCATGGCAGCTTTATTCATAACAGACCAGCAGTGGAAACAGTCCCGTGTCTATTAACTGACGAATTGATAAATAAAATATGGAATATCCATGCCCTGGAGTGTGACCTGTGGGTAAAAGGGAGCGAAGTCGACACACGCCACACATGGAGGAGCCTTGAAATTCTGCTAAATGAAAGAAACCGGTCGTAACAGACCATGCATTTTATGATTTTATGGATACGAAATGGCCAAAATAGACAATCTGTAGAGACAGAAAGTAAATTAGTGATTATCTAGAGCTGAGGGGGTTGGGAGAACGGGGTGTGGTGACTCACGTGTGGGGCTTCCCTGGTGAGTGATGTTCTTCTGTCGATTGTGGTGACGAGCGCATTCCACTCGCCGAGTGTACGAAAGTGTACGAAAATGTACGTGTGCTTGAAATGCGTGGATTGTATGATATGTGAATTACGTCTCGATAAATCTATTTTTAAAAAGGCTAAGCATATTTATATTACAAAAACTTAGTTTTTGCAGAAATAGAAAAAATGAGTGAAGACATGCTCTGGTGGCGATAGATTTTATTTAAACCTTTATTTACTGTATTTTTATTGAGGTATAATTGATACGTAAGAAATATGTTAGTCTCAGGTGTACAATATGATGAGTCAATATTTGTATATACTGTATTGTGAAATGATGACCACAATATTTTTTTACTTTTTTTTTTTTTTTAAAAAAAAACAACATTAACATTTCCTAAGTTAGCCAAGTTTCCGTTGAGGCTAGAGTGTGTATTCCAAAAAAAAAACCACACTATATGTTGCGGAAGGAAAATCCACATCCTTTTATTAAGCTTGACGTTGTCTTTATTATTTTATGTTTCTAATTGAAAGTGTGGCGGATGTATTTAAGTTAAAGAATTTCCTGTCAAAATGGAAGATCTCTACGCCCACACAGAGTATCCGCTTGGTGAGGTTTATGGAGTTCTGTCTCCAGCAATCCCAAAGTGTCCTTCTGTGGAGGAGACATATTTATAAAGGGCAGGAAGGAAAAATATTTAATTTGTGTAAAGGGATGGTGGTTTATGGAGAAGACTTTGTTACAACTGGGAAACAATATTTTACTTCAAACAAACAGATTTTTAGTTTTAGCTGATGTTAAAAATAAAGATGAAAACTTTATTATAAAATTGTGTTCGGTTAATGTTTGACATAACTCCCTTTCTTCTCAGCTTTCTAAACGATTACAAGAGAAAGGATGGGCGGTGGGCGGCCTCCTGCAGGCCGTGCTTAAGTACTATGCCACGGTGGAGGAGACCCACAGCGAGGACGGACGCAAGTCGCTGTTTGACTGGCTCCTGGAAAACGCATAGGACAAGCTCCAAACCAGTATATTTTATTACCTGTTTTCGGAGACGAAGAAAGAAAGATGCGTAGGATAAAGTCTGAATAGCGAATATTGACATTTAAAGTGAATTAGGGGGAAGTCAGTGCAGCCTTTTGAGCTCATTGCGTCATCACGTGGTGTATATAGTTCATACTTTTGTAGTCTCTGTCAGATGTTATCTTCACTTATTACTCTCCACACATGTGTAGTACGTTAAGACCCTACGAAGATGTATTTGAAGGAAGGTCCAGCCATCGGGTGTCAGGGACATTGTCCGATGGCGTTCTTTTTGCATCCAAATCGTGCTGCTAGAAACTCCTCTGAGGTGGCTGAGGTTCCAGGGATAAAGAGTTAGGGTTCTTCTCCTTTGCAAACAGATGGTATCCTGTTAGTAACTAATCCAACATCAAAGAATAGCTTGAGGTAATTTTCTTCCGATAGTTTTTGTCTCATTTTGAAAGTCAATTTTTTCATAGTTACTGGTAGCTTTTTGAATGCCCCAAACTATTTAATTTCTTAGGAACATTAGTATTTTAGGTTTCTATTAATACCATAAATGATAGTTTCCCCAGCCTTTCATCAGATTACATTATTTGCTAATTTTGCCAATTGTTCTGGAATGAAAGCAAATGTGTGCGTGCGCGTGTGTGCGCGTGTGTGAGTGTGTGTGCGTGTGCATGTGCGCACGCATGTGTATGTGTGTAAAGGAGTACTTTCACCTGGCTAGTGGTTTGTGCCCTCTTTTATTTTAATGTGTTTACGTGAGAGATCCACTGTTAATGTTAAAAAGGTGCTTTAAAATAAAATGTCTATAATGATTGTGCAGTAAGAATTTTTATTTCTCTTTAATCAAAGTGCAAAACATTTAAATTTTAAAAATTTATATTGATACGGAAATGCATTTAGAGAAGCCCAATAATGATTTCCACTCTTTAAATTTTTGAAAAAACTCTCCACTTTAGCAAGGATAAGCTTTTTCTAGGAAAAAAAAAAATAGGCACCCCCCTCCCGGATAAAATCCGTTATTTTTGTAAAGTCCTCCGACACGGCCCAGCTGGGCTCTCCGTTTCCTGTTAGAAGGTGCGTGTCGACTTGAGAGGGGACTGAGCTTGTGTCTTGGTTTTGTCTGTGAGGGTGTGCATGTGTGAATTTTCGGTTTCCATCAGTAGATTTCGTCACCCAGAGTCAATCACTTCCTGTTGGGGGGCTTTGGTTTTGCTCCGTTACATATTCTTTTCTTCCTGAGCACTGACTTTTTTGGAAGCTTCACAAAGTGTGGAAGACATAGCACCTGTTGGGGGGCCAGGCATAGGGGCACTCATATTAATTCGAATTAATAATTATGGTAAGGAAATGTATTTTATAAGGAAAGAGTCAGATTTGCTTTTCAAGAAAAATACCAAGAGCTATTTAAATATTTTGAAGTTTCATTACAAGCTTTTTTTTTCCCTCAATTTAAGATAAATAGAGTAAGCCTTAAAAATAAATTTTCCTAAAATTTCTTCAAGTATTTTTAAGGGAGAAATGCAGGAAATGTATATAAGAATTGTTTATGTCTTTAGCTTCTCAGAACTTGAGATGCAGCAGCACTGGCCTGGGTTTTTAAACGTCGGGAACTGTTGTTAATTATAACATAGATAATTGATATTAAGTTTAGATCGAATTTTTACAAGTATATAACTATCGAGTTGTGTTTAGTAACTTCAGTGTATGTACGGGTTTGATTCACAGCAAAACCGAGAGCTGGATTTCTTTTAAACTAAAGTGACATTATATTCCTTTTGTAAAACTTTATGCTTGAAAATGTCTCTTTCTCTTTGGGGTCGTAATCATTTTGAGGTGAGATTTTCCTCGTGTCTTCTTTTCTTTTCGTTGCATTTTTCGGGAGCCGTGCTGGATTCAGAGTTCCCGTTTTCGGTGGCTTCATGCAGACAGGCCAGTCGCTGGCTGTCGGCGTGCCCGGGAGTGATCACGGTGGGACTCATCTGTGTCAGTTCAGTGCAGGGCGTAGAGACGAATACTATGAGTTGGTAGATGTGAAAAGAAGCGGGAGTTAAGCTTCCTTTCGTAGAGAGAAAGCATTTGTGTTTAGAGCAGTATCTTTTAATCAAGTACAGTCTAAACTTACTTTCCTTAAAGGCACTTTGTGATTTTTCTCACGGCAGTCGAGGTCTGTTTGGTTGCTCAGTCTTCAGAACAGCTCTACTCTGTCCTATTTTTACAAATCTACTTGACATATTTATATTATAACATTGTAATGTTGCCATTCTGTAGATTTTGACCCTTATGAAATATCACATCTCATTCAGAACGGTTAAAAGTTGTGATGTACATTCAGTTGAATTCTCTGTTTATCAATTTTAGAAGCATCGAAGGCTCTATGGAAAGAAAGTGAACGAGGCCTTCGAGAAGGGAGTTTCAGAACTTTATTTTACAGCGAAATGTGGCGATTCTTTCGTGTCTTTTTCCCAAGCCGAGTTTAAATTACATTTATGTTTTAGGTATTGTTAATGTTGATTTTGAAAGTATTTCCTGATTCATACAAAAGGAATGCTTTATTTATAAGTCACAGAAGAAAATTACAATGTCTCTTGGATGGTTTGGTACAATTTAATGGAATAAAACCTTTAAGTGTTCGCTCAGTGAATGTATATGGTGACATCTGTATACTTTGAAAAGTGTTCCACTTATCCTTTCAGATATTTCACGTGAGTTGATTCAATTCATAATACTTTCATTTTGCTTAAGTAAGGGTTTTATGTTGCTGGTAGGAGAATTTACTTATTAAATGCGCCATCTATGAAGTGAGAGTTTGCCCCGTGACTTTGACATCAGTGCACATTCCCCAAATGCAGATTTTAACCTTGACTCATCATCAGAGTCCAGACCCAAACGTCTCCTTCGTTAATGATTTAGCTAATATTATTCTTCCACAATTAATAGTATAAATTTCCCATCAGGGTATTGCTTTAAATTTTACATTTTTCAAAGAAAGCTTTACACCCAAATTTTCAAAAATAATGCATCTGTACCTTGAGTGTAGGGGAGATAACTTTCATTTAAAACGCTGTCCACCTGTCACCAGCACAAGAGAATTAGAGCGTCATTGAGAATTATAAAATTGTACTAAAGTTAAATACTTTTTTTTTTTTTAGCAAAAGACCCTGTACGCATTTACTCACTCAACCGTATTTCTGTTCTGCAGAGGCAGATGCAATGTTAGTCACTCTTGTCACTTTATTTATTTATTTTTTTTTACCATCCATGTACATTCCTTTCACAAGGGTGGGATTGGAGTTCTAGAAGTTCATCGTTTGTTTTTGTTGTAATGTTTGAATACTATTTAATATCAGGTTTTAATATTGCTGGATTTGCTACCTTTGTTTACTTGTGCAGTGTTAAAAGTAATTCACTTTCTTGTTTAATATACCAGATATATAGCAAAAGCAGCTTTAAATAACTGCAGCTGTTATTTGTGCGGAATTACTACATTGAGATCTCATGTAACAGTAACTTCTTTTTTGCTTTTCAGTGACTTATTATGTTTATTTACCAAGATATGAACTTCAGGATACACTAAAATTTTGTTGTAGTAGTGGTTCAAAATAAACATTTCAGAAATTACTTTTGTAATAATTTGCAGCTAATTGTTCTTTTATCTTTTATCAATTATTAAAGTCTGTGATCTTTCCTCTTCCAACTGAGAATTCTCCAATAAACTGAAGAGATGCCTGGCCTTGGTTTTCATTCTGTAGTATCTCGCTAACTACTCTGTACGGAACTAAAACAAAGGCAGACGAGTGGGACTGCTGGACAGGAGACGCATCGAACAGTCTCAGTGCTTCTGACATGGTTTTCGAGAACAAGAGATGTTAGGAATCTTTTTAATTGGACATCAGATTCTAACTACTTATTCAGGTGCCTCTGAGTGCTGACCTAAGTGACTGGAAAGGCCGTTTGCCAGTCTGTTTTGGATTTTAGTGCAAAGTAGAATCTTAACGGTTGCCTTGGTTATGAGTGTGCTACGAAATTCTGGCGTGGATCGAGCACCCTTCCCTGGAATATAGAGATCATACTCTGTCATGCCACGTAGCATCGGGCACTTAAAAGTTAGGTGCTGGCTCTTTATTACCAGTGGGGACTGACTTTGTCTTAAGTATTTTAAGCCCCAGAAATTAGGGGATGATTTTCTTGGATGGTGGTTAAACTGTTTGCGTAGGTTATATGCAGTTCCGTGTTTCAATAGTGTGTACCTTTGCACATGCGTATGTGCGCTTCTGCTCATGGATGCACACGACGTTTCAAAAAACAGCTGCAGATCTGATCACCGTAAAAACAACCAGAGAGAAAAGATGGGTTACCCGCAAAGCGACAACTGGATTAATGGCAGTCTGCTGAACAGTTACGATAGAAGCCAAACGATAAGAGAAGATCTGCAAAGTATTAGTTTAAAAAAGGTTCAGAAATTCATATTCTTCTGAATTATTTTTCAAAAGTGAACACAAGGTGATTTCTAGTAGACCGGAAGAGTTTACATTTATTTAACTTAACCTATGCTGGGAAAAAAAACACACACACACACACGCTATTGGAGTGTAACTACTTTTATAAGAAGGAAATTGAGCTCTAAGGAAATAGTGAAGAAGCAATGTTTAAGATACTAATTAAAATAGAAAGTGAAAGAGAGAGAGCGAGCACCCCAATGCTGTCCATCGTCATGTAATTCCCGTTTATGGCAAGCGCCTCACATTGGTGAGTCCAGATCTCAGCCTTGTCATCATTCCTGTTTTTCACATGAAGAAACAGCTTCAGAGAGGGTAGGCGTTCTTTACACAATGGGCACAGTGGGGATGCCCAGGCCTGCCAGCCTCCGAAGCCCAGATTCTGCCCATTACACTGTGTCACCATATTTGCAAACCAAAATACAAGAGATGACAAAGTCGCCTGTAATAACAGTAATTATTTACCTTCAGTGTATTTCCTTTCAAAAAGTGTATATTTTTTATACAATTGGGATTTCCCTTATTTCAGAAATGTTTGAAAAAAAAACCTTTGGACCTTTCAAGTTTGGTAGTCAATAAATCTTGCCAGTCTCTTGGCTGGAAATGACCCGGCCAGAACGTTTTGGTCCGACATGTAGTTGGGTTTTCCTTCCTTTCCTGTTACTGGTATCACTTTGAGCCAAAGTTGGTACAGCTGACAGTCTTTACAATGGGAGTACCTTAAATAGGTCTTTTGAGGAGGGCAATATGTAAAAAGACATTCTGGTTAGCTTCCAGAAACTAGGCAGAAGTATTTCTTATCTCAGCTGGACTCTCTGATTTTTCTCTTTTCCTTGTCTTCAGCCTTACTGTGCCCATCAGAGCTGACAGCCGTAGAAGTTATTTCATGCATGTTTTCCGTGCCCGTCTGAACATAGAAGAAAGAGTACAGAAAGAACAAATACCCTTCCCAAGCTCTAGTTCCTCTTTTTTTCTGACTGTCCAATGGCTTTCTCTTTGCCCTCTTGTCATTCCTAGTCCAGTATATATAAAACTGAGCTGTCTCGCCCCAGCAAACATGCACCTCCCACTATGTACTCTACTAGGCACCGAGAAGAACACTGTGGATGACCAGTTATCTTTGACCTCTTCTCTCCACCCCGACTTCCGCCTCCAAGAGGAAGGAGAGGTGGCAGGTGTCAGGGGGAATAGAGGGTCTTCCATTCGGGGGAAAGAAAGTGAAATGTTGAAAGGTGTTAGGAGCTGGCAATGTGGTGCGATGTAATCCCACAGTCTGCAGCCATTGGAGACATCCAGGGGAGATCCATCTTGCTCTTCAGTGATCTGAATCAGGTACGTGTATATAATCGTTGTTATTTTTTTATTGGATACAATATACTGAATCTTGCAAAAGAAAGACGGCTCAGTAATACCAGATGATAGGAGTCACCCAGGTCAGCCACATGTCGTGATTAAATAGGTAAGTTAGGGAAAACCCTGATAAATCAGCTTGTTTACTGACTTCCATTTTTGCTAGTATGGCAGATGACTAACCCATTGACAACACACACTCTGGATAAAATATTAATTTTTTTTCCTATAAATTCATTGATAGGTAGCATGAAGGCAAGGAATATACAGGCCAATAGAAAAGTAAAGTTTGGGGGTTTTGGAACCCAGTGCTTTCTTTGGACAGAAGAAAACTTTTCTGTCCAAAACTTGGGCAGTGAATCAAGGGGGAAAACATCTTCCCTGAGAACTGGCAAGCTCACTCTCATGTGAGCTTCAGCCTAAATTCAAACGATCTGGGTGGTCTAAAAATCCTCCAGCCAAGAATTTAACATTTTTCTGTTAATGCTTCTAAGAACCCGTCCGATGCAACCAAATGCAGAGCCCATGTTCATTCTAAGCTTTGATTTGTCCCAAAGAAAAAGTTCCAAGAAAAATGAGAAACTTATATTTAAAGAAACATGACCATGAACATGAACCAGCAGAAATGGCAGGGTGGAAACCAGATCAAAGACGTCATATGTTGGTATCATCAGACATAAGGTAGCTGTAGTTTTGTAAGACAAAAGGGGAAGCTTAAATATGAGCAGAGTATCTCTCAAGTTTCACCAAAATAATAACAAGAAAACTGTGAAGAAATTCGGATCCTTGTTGGCCAGAATTTAAAATAATACAGTTACTTTAAAAATAGTTTGGCAGTTCCTCAAAAAGTAAAACTGTTACCATGTCCAACAATTCCACTCCTAAGGATACTCAAGACAAGTGGAAACATTCGTCAGAGCATTATTCATTAATGGTCCTGAAGTGGAAACGAAAGACCTAAAAGTCAACCAGCTGATGAAGAGAGAAACAAAATGTGGTTTATCCATACAATGAAGTATTTAACCACGAAAAGGAATAAAGTATTGATACTTGCTACAACATGAACAAACCTTGACTATGTAAATATAACTATTAAAAATATAAGGGAATAATTAATATAAAAATTCAGGGTAGTGAATTACCTGGAGATGGGTGAAGGGAAGAGGGTGCTACAGAGGCTTCTAAGGTACCAAAAGTTCTATTTATGAGTGGTGGGTCCCTGAATGTTGGTTTATTATATTCAAGTTATATACATTCTTTATATAATATTTTAAAGGTATGCCATACTTAATGAAAAAAATCACTTAGATACAGTAGTCTCCCCTTATTTGTGGTTTGATTTTCCAAGGTTTCAGTCACCCATGGTCAACCGTGGTCCAAAAATATTAAAAGGAAAATTCTAGAAATAAATAATCTGTACGTTTTAAATTGTGTGCTGTTCTGAGCAGCGCAACAAAATCTCGCTAGTTCTGTTCCATCCCGCCTGAGACGTATCCCATCCCTCTGTCCAGAGTCCCCACACTGTCTGCTCCCTGCCCGCCAGTCACTTAGTATCCAGCCGTCTGGGCGATCAGACTGACTGTCAGGTGTCACCGTGCTTGTGTTCAAGTCACCCTTAGTTTACTTAATAATGGCCCCAAAGTGCAAGAGCGGTGATGCTGGCGATTCGGATATGCCAGAGAAAAGCCAATAAACTGCTCCCTTTTAGAGAAAAGGTGACAGTTTCTCGACCTAATAAAGCCACTGTGTCATCCCACATCTTCCCAAGAAAGAAGAGTGATTTACAGTACGGTAAGATACTTTGAGAGCAATCACATTCACATAACTTTATTACAATATATCATTATAATTGTTCTATTGTTAAACCTCTTAGTGTGCCTAATTTATAAATTAAACTTTCTCATAGGTATGTGCG